CAATCTTAAAAGGCGAAGCCCCCGTGGATGCATGCTCGCTGTTATTGTAGCTATATTCGGCAAAGTCCAGCAGGGATGCCCAGTTGTCCTGCTGATAAGTGGAGAAACACCTCAGGAATTGTTGTAGGGTTTTCTGGACCCTCTCGGTGGCACCATCAGTCTCTGGATGGAACGCAGTACTGAGGGCCCGTTCGGCCCCCAACATGGATAAGAAAGACTTCCAGAATTTGGAGGTGAATTGTGTGCCTCTGTCACTTATAATCCTGGTTGGACAACCATGCAGTCGAAACACATGATGAAGGAACAGTTTGGCTAACTCTGGGGCTGAGGGGAGCCGTTTCAAAGCCACAAAGTGAGCCTGTTTGGAAAACAGGTCAATCACAGTCCAAATAGTGTTGTATCCCTGACTATCAGGTAATTCTACTATAAAGTCCATAGCAATTTCAGTCCAAGGCTGGGAGGGGTTGGCCACGGGTTGCAATAGCCCCGTGGGCTTTCCTATTTTCTGTTTATTCTTTGCGCAGGTTGGGCACTCTTGGGTATATTCTTTTATATCTCTGCGCATGGCAGGCCACCAGAACTGGCGGGCTAAGAGTTTGAGAGTCTTGGTGAACCCAAAGTGACCCGCCAGGAGCGAGTCATGGCCCCTTTTCATTACCTCCTTGCGCATTGAGGCCGGCACGTAGTATTTGGACCCAAAGGCCCAGAGCCCTCCCCTTTGGGTTAGTTCTCCCTTGTGCTCCTGAAGCCACTCGTCTTTTTCGGCCGCCTCCCTCAAGCCCAGGATTATTTCGTCTGGCTGGCCAAGGGGGGCGGGCTTCTCCTTGAGGCTGGCCCGGGTCTGCACCACCAGACCCATCTGTTGTTTGTTAAAGATAGTCCCTGACTCTGTGGGGGAAGAATAGTCTGCCTCAGGCATGCGCGAGAGCGTGTCTGCGACTTGGTTCGCTTTTCCCGGAACGAAGTTGAGGCGGAAATTGAAACGTTGGAAGAATTGGACCCATCTGAGATGTTTGGCGTTAAGTCTCTGTGGGGTCT